CTCAATTATCAAGAACACTGCAGTGGTCCACTACATTCTCCTCGCAATCAAAAACTTCAACATTTAGTTGCCGAAGCATCAAAATTGCAACATTAAATTCCTCTTTAAGTATTTCTCGTATTGCTGTTTTTTCAATGAAAATTGAAACTTTAACAGTTGCTAATTTTTTCATACGACGATGATTTATTTGCTCTTCAATTGATGATAAGAAGGTTGGGTGTGTACAATTCCAAATTGTTATTTTTGTGACGCTTTTCAGTTCAAAAATTTTTTCTAAAATGTTTGGATCGCGAATCCACCCATTCATATGAATTTTTTTGAGGTTGGTATAATCGTCAGTTGGCAACAAATTGTTGTTTTTGGTGCCAATATAGCAATTTTCTATTTTTGAAAAAGCATTTGAGACTATTTGTGGGTGGAAATGTGGCGAATGAATGTGATTATAATCATTCCTTTTGTTGTGTGGTGCTTTCACAAGACGTATTTTCTTGACTTTTCGGATCAGTTTGTTGTCGTTACCTAACATGTAATCGTAACATTGAAGGGTTTCTATCTTTGGAAACGCTTGAATGATAAATTCGAAAATCGAAGAATATAAAGCCTCACGTGGCTCTTTAAATAGAGCAAAAGTTTCAATTTCTAAATTGATAAAAGGGTTGATGTATAGACTCTGCATACACTCAAAACACTTCTTGTTAACTTGTTCAAAAGTTTTGAGAGAATCCATTGTGTTAATGTATAAAGAAACGTTCATCATATACACTCGTTCTAATTTTCTCATCTTGTCAATATTTTTCAAGTTTGTAAATCAAATTTTAAAATCATTTAAATATAAAATACATAATGTTGTTTTTTAATTAAAGTAGGTTTGATCTGTTTATTAAATTATATGATTCATTGAATTTATATTATTTTGATACTATTAATACCCCATATTATGTTTCGGTTAAACATAAGATAAACTAGAACTAGAATGTCCAAAAAATAAAGTTGAGTGTTTAAATTAATAATCCCCATTTTATAGATATTTTATCAGTAATATAAAAAAGTATCAATTATTACTAAATGATAATTTAGTAATAATTATTTTTGGAAACTTAGTTAGAACATGGTTTGCCAAAAATTAACAACAAATATTATTGTTAATAAAAATTATTATTAATTATTATGATTAAATTTTTATTACAATAAAAACAATTTTGTGTTTCATTATGGGACCTACATTGACCACCACCACCTCTTAAAATAGATTTATTTTTTCTATTTCGAATCATATTCAAATTAAAATTATAGTAAATAGGAAACTGGGATAATATTAGGTCTGGTTCCCGAATTCAAGAAATGCCGAAAAATCACCTCGAGTTAGTGGAAACCGAGTGAGACGGAGCATTGAAAAGAAGGCTCATAAAGACGCACTCAAACAGTCTGTTTGTGCACCGTTTCACCCACTTTCCAAGTCCTCCCTTGGCGCGGATCCCCCCTGACCCCCCCGCAAGCGGGGGGGAACCACATCCGCGTCCACACAGTACGGACAAGGAAAGTGGGTGACATGGGGACGCACAAACAGTGGCTGAAAAATAGACTTCCTTCAAAAAACACTCGCGGCAAATATTTTTTTTGGTAAAGGTGGTGGTGGTCAATGTAGGTCCCGTTTCATTATTATTAAAGATAAAAATATTTTTAAAATATATCGAGTTTTTACTTTAATGTTTAATCAAGATGTGCCAAACAAGGATGGAATTGGCCTATATAAACAGAGCAGTTTTTTTTGGCAAAGAAAAACAAATAAAGTCATTCCGAATTAGAGTGCAACTTTATTTTTTCTGTGTTTTTTACTCACAACAAAGGGAAAGTCTATTTTCAACAATAACAAAAATAAAAAATAAAAAATAAAAAATGGTAAAATTCAACAAACACTACAACTTTGAAATCAAATGAGACAATTTTAAATTTAAAAAGAGATCCGTTAAATGAACTATCTGAATCAATGAAAAATACTAAAAAAGAAACAATGGATAGTACAATACAAGTAAATCAACTCAAACAAAACATTTCGTTGTTATCCTTTAATAAATTGAACGAAGCAATAACCAACAAATAAGAAACAAATGAAAAAAATGTAAACATTATTAGTGGAAATTAAAGAAGTAGAACAAATCATTTAGTATAAAATATCTGTTCACGAAAAAACAGTAGAAATAATGAAATTAAAAACAAATGTTAAAATGTTATTAAAACCATTTTTTTTAAAAAAAGTATCATTAACAACAAATAAAAATGAAAAAAAGCAATTTTCTTGGAACGTGTTGCAGAACAAAAGATTGAAATATCTATAAAATTTCAACAGTTGATAGATGAACTAGTCATGGACTCAAAACAAACAAAGAAAAATGTAATTGATTTAACAAAAGACAAACCACAAGTTGATATACAAGACGAATTCAACAGTAAATATCACAAAACAGTTATCTTGAAATTGTCATTTTGGAAACCATGTTTGAAAAATACAAAATTGATTCTATTTTAACAAGATTACTTCCAAATAGATTTTATGATATAAATTTAATAGGTACAAGAGAAAACCATATTAAAATTTTTTCCAAAAATAAAAGGTACAAATGAATAATATACACAATTGGTATATTTGTTAAAACAAATGAAATAAATAAAAGAACACAAAGGTTGTGCCAACTTAAAACATCAATTTATTATAGTTCATTCTTATTTTTGTTCTAAATGGTTATCCGGAATCTAAAAAGCCATGTTGTTTTTTTTTGTTTATCAAAAACTGGATATTCAAAACAAATAGGAAAAATTCGCAATTTTTTTAAATTAAAGAAACAAGAAAAGTTGATCAAATTAAATATAATTTAAAGAATGAAATAAAAAATTACAACCAGGCAAGGATATGATTTAATGACAGTACCAGAATTGCATATGTTTTTTTAAAGCGAAATTTTGTAATAGACGTGAAACGATTGATGATTTGAAAATTGATGGTGTGGCTCTAGTTAAAGCAGCACAAACAGAAGTAGCCCGTTACAACTTTAGTATTGACGATGATAATAAATATTTCGATGACAAATGTATGATGATATTAATGTGGGATTTGTGGTTAACCTAGACGAAAGCAATAATGAACATTTTTAAGATAAAAAAAATCAACATGTTTTTGTTTGTGATTTTGATTAAAATTATTAATACATATATCATTTTAGAAAAGATATTCAAAACATTTTTGTTTTATTCGCCATATGTTTGGATGGTACATTTATGAAGCAACTATATGTATTGAAACGAAAAATTGGTGATTCAAAGATGTTGCTTGTTCCGATCTGTGTTTTTTGTTTTTGTTTTTGTTTTTGTTTTTGTTTTTGTTTTTGTTTTTGTTTTTGTTTTTGTTTTTGTTTTTGTTTTTGTTTTTGTTTTTGTTTTTGTTTTTGTTTTTGTTTTTATATACAATTTTAGAATTAAGTCCGATATTCACATACAATTGTAGTTATTTTTTGTTTACTAGATAACTTTTAAAAACTGACTCTAATAAATAATGATAAATTATTTTATAAACAAATTGAAAAAAGTTTTTTATTATAATAACACTTGTGCTTCGAATAACATTGAACAAAATTCAAGTGGTATAAAAATCGAGAAATATTGAATTTATAAAATGAATTTCTATTTTTTAGAGTTTATATTATGTGCATAAACAATACACAAGCCAAAAAAGGAAAATCATCAAAAATTCGATTAATATCCCTGGGAAAACAGGCCTAAACAAAAATAAGGGTGTAATTAAGTGTCAACAAAACTTTTTTATTTTTTTTTCGAAGAAAAACGCGAAAATTGTAATTCAAAGATTTTGCTGATTGATATAATAATAAATTATTGTTAATTTAAACTTTAACTAAACATTTTACTTTTAAATAAAATCATGTCAAAATATAATTCGAACTTTTTAACTCAACTGTAACGAAAACTTTTATTTATAAATAATAAATTTAGACTTAAAAAATAACATATCAATAATAAGAATGCCACAAGATATCATGAATTTAAAATTTGTACTAATTGTTTTATTGATAGTATCAACGTTTTCAAGAGATATTTACGTAGACAATACATCAGGCAGTGACCAAAATCCCGGAGACTCTAAAATTTATCCCTTCGAATCGATACAAAAAGCCATTTCTTCAATAGCTTCTAGTGAAATTATAGAACCGGTGACTATTTATATAAAATCGGGGTATTATCCATTCGTTAATAATTCAATTGATATTACTAAATGGTCAATTAAAAACAGTACAATACCGCGCCCAATCACTATAACGAAATACCCCAATGAAAACCCACCTGTTATCACAGGTGGAGTCAAAATTCCAATATCTTCATTTCGTTCTTTGAACTCAGAAACTGACAAAGCGCAATATGAAAAAATCCAAAGTTCAAAAAGAAACTCCATTAAAGTGTGCGATTTAGATAAATTATATGACCGAATCGACTTAGGAATATTCGAAGCAGATTCGAATGCTGAGATTTATGTCGACGACAAGCGGTTCCGTGTGGCTCGATATCCAAATTATGAGTACACAGACACATCACATCAAACCGAGAGAATATTCATATTACCACCAACTGACACCTCCGTTCAACTCACACCAAATGTGACTGGATATTACATTCCTAGAACAGAGGTTTTATGTGGCAATGAGACGACTTTTAAGAGTGAGCAGAGTGTGAATGGGAAGTACTATTATCTCTATAAGAACGATTCTAGTTACTGGACACTATCAACACGCTTTGATTGTGGTGTCCCGACACAGAGTGACGGTGCTTATTTCACGATCAAGCGAACTGCGATGGCGGGAGAAGTCAAAGCTGTTGAAGAGTCTGGCGCAAAGGGGAATCCTGTGCTTCAGCAGCCAAATTACATATACCGAGGAAATATGTGGACTGCGTATGCACCAGACAAGTTGGGGAGAACTTTTTATTATTCGAATGATAAATTGGGTGAATACACAAAATACGACTCTGTGTGGATGAGAGGGTATTGGCTCATCTTTTCACAGGACCAAGCAGTCAAGGGAACGATCGATAAGAACAAAAGAACAGTAACTGTTGATAGAGCTTTGGGTGGTGGAGACTTTGAGGGGATGATCAGTGGGATGCCATTCTATATATTTAACTTGATAGAAGAATTGGATGAAGAGGGTGAGTACTATATTGATTATGAAGAAAAGAAACTGTATATCTACTTGCCGGCTATTGTTGATAAAGTGTGGATATCACAAACCACTTCATTATTAGTTAATGTGCACACTTTTAATAATTTGACTATTCAAAATATCATTTTTGAATATACACGAAAAACTATGATGAGCTTTTATTTATCAAATAATATTCTCGTCAAAAATTGCACGTTCAGACACTCGGGGTTAATGGGAATTTATTTCTCAGGTAACCAGTCGACAATTACTCATAACATTTTTTATGATATGGGATCTGAGGCAGTTTATATGAGATGTGGTTTGTTTTAAGTAATTATTAATAAAAATATTATAACTATTTTACTCTAATTATATACTATATTTATTATTATAAATTTAATAAAATATTATAATTTATATTAAAACTAATAAGTGCTAGTTTTATAATTACAAACTCTTATAATTTAATAATTAATATATAACTATAATTGTAATATATGTTCATTTAATAGATTTAAACCATTTTAATAAATTATATTATTTATATCATTATAAATTATAGTATAAATAACAATAAGGAAACTTTACTACATTATATCGAGGAGAATGCTATCTAACTCATAACTATGCGAACACGACGTCACAAGTATCGTTTACTTTTGTTCCAGCGTTTTCCATTGCTTTTGTTGGAAATTACATGAAGCATAATTACGTGGAAAACAATCCCCATTTGGGATATGCACATAATGGCGCGTATTTGGAGATCTCATACAATGAAGCTAAAAACATATGTACCCGAGCTTCTGACTGTGGTGCATTATATTCCGGTACACATTGGGAATACTCTGGTAATGTTATTAAGCGCAATTTCTTCCATGACTCAACTGGATTTGGGCAGCCTGGCGGAGGGTCTTTTGTTATTGGAATTTACTTGGACGACAATCTATCGAAGCAAAGAGTCTACCAAAACGTCGTTTCTAATTTTGTTGGCCGTTGTATAGAACATGGTTCGGGAAGGTCTAATCTTATTTATAATAACATATTCTATAAATGTAATGATGGGTACACTGGAGATTCTAGAGGACCGAGAAGGTATCACACAACCCCAAACGTGTTCTACAATTTACTTGACACGATGGTGAATGATGGAGTCGATAGATATACGTCTCCGTGGAAAGACCAATTTCCCGAATGGGCGTTGTTACCAAAAACATCTGAAGAATTAATGAAAGAAGAAAATCTTCATTGGCTGTATATGGAGAACAGTGAGATATATTGTAACGTTTTCTATAATCATAAAAAGGATTATGTATTTACTGAACAGTGTGATAAATATATGAAAAGGTGGGAGATGAACACTAACTCGAGTCAAGATCCAATGTTTTATGATGTTGATAACAACGATTTCAAAATGAGAAAAGAAGGGGAAATATATAAGTATAACTGCTGGGAGGAAATTCCTTATGAAAATATCGGGATTAACAAACGAGACAATGCTTATAGTGTCTTAACTGAGTTCTTAACTGTTATATGTCTTGTTGTCTTCTTATTTTAAAAAATAAGTGATTATTTGCTTTGATTTTTTTGTGTTTGATAATAATGTTTGAGTCATATTATAATTACATTATAGTCTTATTTGGTTGTTTTTTTCTTGTAAATACAGTCATTATTCGATATAAGGGAATACCGGGTACCAATGTTATTCGATATAAGGGAAAAAATGAGGAATTATATAATTAACAAATAAATACCTCGGTTTGTTTTTTGTCACAAAAATATTTTTTTTTGATTATTATTTTTTTTTCTAACCAAAATAAACACTTTGCATATATCTTGAAAACAAGAGGCAATTATTTTTATCTTAAATAAATAAAAAAATTTATAATAAATCAAAAAACAAAGACAAATATATTAACACAATTAACATAATAAATAAAACTTTTGTAAATAACTTTGTTTCGACTTAAAAAACTTCAAATAAATCTGTTAAATCATTAAGTTTTAATGCAATTTAAATGTGTTAAAACAAGAACATCATTGATGTTACGAGACAAAATAAAAATTATTGAATTAATTGATCCTTATCAAAATTCACAGAAAGTAATCAAAGTTGTAAGACAACAACTGAAAATAGTAATTTCTCCAAAGCAAGTTTATCAATTGCTTTCAATTTCTAAAGAAACATTGATAATTTTTTATCCTCGTATAAACGAATAAGAAAACCACAGAACCTGGAACTTGAGGAAGCAATGATCAATTGGTTTCATGAAGTTCGTAAAGCGGGAATACAAATTGATTATTATATGTTGTCAAGGAAAGTATACTTTTTGAAAGAATGCAAATACATTCATTGTATTATTTCAAAATAAAATTTACTTGTTTATCTATTTTTATTATAATTATTATAATTATATTATTTTGTGTATTTCAATTAAAAATGTTCTATTAAAAATATAATAAAACATAGTTTTTATATTAATTTAATTTAATTGACTTTTTAACTTAGTGACAAATTAATCCAATTATTACCATTTTTGGGTTTTTAAATTGAAATAACCAACAAAAAGCAAACGTATAAATTTCTTTTTTTTAAATTTTTTTACTATTATTTGGTATAAGGGCTTTTTCTTATTTTTCTCCCTTATATCGAATAAATCCTTATATCGAATATTGACTGTAATTGAATTTTTCTATTTTTAATGTCTATCAGGCTTAAGTAATTATAATCAAAAACATCCAATAATTATCTAGTAAAATAAAAGAATTTCTAGTGCAATAAAAATTATTTATCTTTATTTTAAAAATTATTTAAAATACCAGTAATTATCATAATTAATCAAATTGTTTAAAATAAATGGTAATTATCTAACCATGATTAATAATTATCTTATATTACAATATTATATAAAAATATTATACATAATTGTCTTTATTAAATTTGTTTAGGACGTAAATTGTATCGTGTTTGTAATGGACATAACAGAGTTTTTGATTACACCATTCAATGCAATTTAACAGAAAGTTTTTATTCGTCATTCCAAAGTTACCAAGACGAAGCGTTGCATTGTCCTGTTAATAACATGAATACAACTATTATAGTGACAACCATTGAATTTAATTTGAATGAGTCGTTTTCTGGTACTTTTGATCAACAAAAAATGGTAACAAAGTTCAAATTTGAAATTACATCGAATTATAATTTCAACGACTCGACAAAAACCGTTTTATTTGTTCAAGACGAATCTGTGGAACAAAACACTTTAAACATCCAAACGATTTCAAAAAAACTTTTGCTTGGAAACAAATACAAATTTGTTAGAACAACAAATTCAAATAACTTGAAAAGCGACATTTTTTCAATTGAATACAACTCGTCTTATAAGTGCAATTTGTTTTTAATAACTAATTTGAATTCAAAGTGCTTGCATTGTGATCAGTCAACTGTTTTAAACAACGGAGAATGTCTTGATTTCAGTGACAAATACTTCTCACGACAACGGAATGGAACAACCATGTACTGTGAAGAGTGTGAAAGTGGGTTTGAACTTTACAAAGAAAAATGCAATCAGTGTCCTGATCACTGTCTTCGATGTTTCAACTCGAATTGTTTGCTTTGCGAAGTAAATTATCAAATAAACTCGTCGTTTGGATGCTCTGAAGTTGAGAAAAGAAAAACTATCAACTTCATTGAACTACAGGAAGACTCTAAAGATCCAGCTGGATATAGAGTTGCTTTCTTTTAAACTAACAACTTTGGGAAGAGAGGATGTTGACCTCAAAATGTTGTAACCTTTTATGAACAAAATGGCTAAATTATCCACCATAAAAGAGGAGCCAAAGGAAGAGAAAATTGTGGAAGTTCAAACAACAGGGATAGTTGCGTATTTTGAATTTCTCTGCAAGTACCCCAATGGCATTCCAGTAAGTTTCAAATTCAATTATGATGAATCAGGCATTTGACGCAACTTCGCATGTAGTTCGGTGAGCGACCCAAACGCTTCGCATCAAACACATTTCACAATTCACACTTCTTCGACTTCGGCCCAGTAAATACTTAATTACTCAAACACGTTGTGCAAAGACCATTTTTTGTGTCACAGTTACCCCCACATGTTGAATCACACATTATGCATACTCCGTTATCTCCTGGATAATAATTTGTTAAACATTTAACACATTTTCTAATTTGATATGTTGAGCAAGTTTTGCAATTGACACCATACGAATCACAACTTTCGTATGTAATTTGTTTGTTTTCAAATGACACAAACCCACTTATACACTCCGAACAAATTCCAGTTGTTCGATCACAATCGGTGCACGAATCCAAGTCACGTTTAATACACATACCAATGCTATTTGGGTAATATTTTGTGTTGCAAACAACACATTTTCTGACGCCATTGTTCTCACACTTCTTGCAATTTTTGTCGAACGAAGAACACGCCTGGCATTTCAATGGATCAGATGGATTGAGTACATATCCATTAACACACGATGTGCACGCACCCGTTGATGTATTGAATTTATCAGTACATGTAGTGCTGCAGGCCTGACAATTATATGGGTATGTCGTACTTCGATAGTTTCACATTTTGCAAGTTAAACACTTTCGTGTAATTGTCGAGCAGTTCAAACAGTTAGAGTCAAAATCACTGCAAATTTGACAATTTACACCAGGCGTTGAGAGTGGCGTTTCTCCACTCTTACATACAGTGCATATACCAGATGAAGTGTCACAATCTACACATCCGGAACATGGTTGGCACTTTCCAGTTGATGAATTTGATAATATTTTGAATTGCATTTTGAGCATGCTGCTATTTGAGTGCTGCAAGTGATTCAATTGGTATTAATTGAAGAGCAAGGAATACACCTTAACGTATTTGAAGGATCAATAACAAAAAATGAAATGCAATTGGTGCACGCACCAGAGTTTTTATTGCACTGACCAGTGCATGTGTCGGAATTACATTGATAACACGCTTTGGATGATAAATAATAAGAATCTTCACATTCAGTACATCCACTATATACAACAGCAGCTATACAGTGATCCGGATATTTCACACAAGAAACACCACCAGTGTAATAGTACCCACTAATACATGAACATGATTTTGAAGTAGTTGATCAACTTGCACAGGTTGATGGAAATGAATAACAATTTTTAGCATAAATATAATACCCATAAGAGCACTTTGTACAATATCTTGATGTAGTATAACAAGATACACACTAGTACATATTACCACACGAGTAACAATACCTACCATATGGGTAATACCCATATTTACATTGTGTATACGTGTTTGCATCATTACAATAAACACAATTAAAATTAATAACGAAACACATAGCGCATATCACACTTTTAATATATATTGGTGTGAGATAAAAGCCTGAATTACACCGATAGCATACACCAGTAGTTGTGTCATATTGGCAGTCATAACTCGCACAATCTATTGGACAACAAGTCAACCCATATGTGTATGCTCTGTCATCACATACAAAAAATGAAGTTTTTGTATGTGATGTATTTGTTTTTTACAAAAGACGCCATTTGTCTGAGTTGTTAAAGTATAATTTTGTGAACACTTTTGACACACATTTTGAACACAAATTTCACAGTCAGTTGTTGGTCCACAAATATTATTGTTAATACTATTGGAAATTAATTTATTAACAAAAACGGTTTTGTCAGTGACGTTTTCATATTCCAAGCTCAATTTTGGAAATTGTAGTAAAGTGTTATTGAGTTTAAAAACAATTTCTTCAACATGTTGTTCAACATCAATTTGAAGTTCTTTAACAACGTCAAACTGAACACTAAAAGATAGCCGATTCTTTAAAATTAGTACGCTTCCAATGTCATCAACAAAACGTGTTTGGCGTGTCAGAGGATGGGATTGAAAACACTGGACAGTTCCATTTTCACTTGAACACCATGTCAACGAATAGCTTTGAAAGCAACAGAAAAACAACATCAGCCCAACACAAGCCATTTTGATTTATGTGTTTTTTAGTCGAAAAAACATTTCACAAATAAACAAATTTTTATTGCTTTTTTCTAATAAACAATAACTTGGTTGTAAAAATACTAATGTGGAATTATGGAAACACTCATCAAATACGGTATCTTTTTTTTAAAAAAAATGCAAATGTTATTACATTCTTTGTTTTTATTTTTGACTTTATTCTTTAAAAGATAACAAATTGACAAAAAACAACAAATCGGGTTAAAGAAAATTAATCCCAACCAAGGTGTGCCTATCCATGATGAAATTGGTTGATATAAATAATTAATAATGTTACATTTTCAGCACTGTTAAATAAAAATTATCAACAAATAGTTTGTTATTTACTACGTTTTTTCCACAACAATTTTAACAAAATTGGCACATTGAGAAATGGCGTAGTCACTTATTCTTGTCACCGTTGAAGGGAACACAATTTTACTTACGGAATGTACCTATTCAAAACAACCTACTGTTAACACATTTACTCCCTCTGGAATAACAACTGTTTTTAAAATGACGTTCTCGTTTTCTTCTCTGGTATCAAAACCATTTTTGTCGTGTGCTCCATCTAGAATTTGTTCTTTTTTACAGTCTTCATTAGATAAATATTTATCATATGCAACTTCCATATATTTGATGTTAAGTTTCACCAACTGAGTAATTCTGTAAGATGTTCTTTCTTCGAAAATCAAGTCTTTTGGGGGGTTTTTCATAACAATCTCTTTGAGACTTCTACAATGATTAAATGCTGTTGTTTAGTACAAAGATATTGTTGGTATTTATGGCACATTGACTCTTGTTAATTTTTACAATTAGAAACATCTAAGTTTTCAGTTGTTTTGGTGATCACTTCAAATGGTTTTGGACAATTTTCGATACTAATTGAAATATCCTTTTCAGAAAATATCGCAATTTTCTCAACATTGGGACAATTCCAGAAATTGCCCTAATCAATACGAGTCACATTACTTGGTATTTCGATATTCACAATATCCACATTGCAAAATACCCCGCTCCCAATGTGGTTACAAAACAAGGGAATAACACCGTTCGTCAATTCAAAGTCTTTTTTAGTGAACAAATACATATGACTATACAGTCCACTTTCTTCAAGAATCTCTTTCATAAAACACGCAACTGGTGACTTAATAACTGTTCCTCCGACTGCCGAGATGTGTTTTAAGTTGTTAAAAAGATGAGACTGTTGAAATACAAATTCACTGACATAGTAAGAAACATGACATTGTCAAGGTTATTGTTATCTTCTATTTCAACAACATTTGATAAATCAGGTCGCTTCAAATTTGTATCTGAAAGTGCGTTATAAGATATTTGAGTGACACTTTTTGGGATGTTCATGTCTTCAAAACCATTAACAGTGCAGAATGCTTGAACTCCATATTCATCTGCAGGAAGTTGAAACGCGTTGATTTGCTGAGAATTATTTAAAAGATTTATATCGTTTTGAGTGATCAGTAATTTGTGATGAATTGAATTAAAAGCATGTGAAGAAGATTAATTGATCAACGTGTTCAAATTCTTAGTCCCCAAATTCTTCACGTATTTGATGCTAAACGTGTCGTAAAAAGAACTTAACCCTACAGACAACACTTCACCTAATGTAATAGCAGACAACTCCACACAACAATAGAAACACTTCTCGCCAATGGTTTTGATATGAGAAATGTCGAATTTTTTTAAATTCACGTCAAAACAACTGATTGGAAGCTCTTGTATACTATTACCAAGTTCAACAAAAGTAAGTGTAGACATTCTCTGTAAACCATAATCTCCAAGTGAAATGATATCGCTCAAGTCTAAACTTATTGCGTCTTCAGATATATCTTTAAATGCCTTCCCTTTGAGATGTGTCGCTCCGTCGTATTTTTTGTATTTTATATAATCGCCAATGTTATATGTGACATGTGTAAAATTCGAGTTAGAAGTCCTCTTTTTGAGGTATTCGGTGTAAGACATTTGATAATCATAAATGCAATGAATATAACTGGGAACGTACTTGTCTATTTTCTTGTAATAGTGATACGTCTCGACATTCGAAAAAAAATTAAAGTGAGAATAAAGGCAAATTGGGTTGTAATGGAACATTGATGGAATATCTTCGAACTTCTTACACACTTGAATGAGTCGAATAAAGTCTCCAATATTTTTAAAATATTTAGAAACTATCATGAGTGAGTAGAGGTCGAGTTGACTTGGCATCAAGTACTTGTAGTTATTTAAGTTTATTTATTATTGTTTTTTTATTTGAAAATCAATATTCATAAAAAACTCTTATTATAGTCATGGTAAAAAAGGTTGTTGAGTAAAAAGGGTTATTAACAAGTTATATTTTTTGTGTGTTTTTTCCATAAACTTTATACCCAAAAGACAAATTTGCCCATTATTTTTGTCAAACATAGATAGTTTAAACAAATTTATTGTTTAGTTATAAAATAATTTTTATGCAAATTGTCATTATTAAAAAACTAAAATATGCTATTTTTCATTAAATATCATATTTTGATTATACATATAATATTTATTTTTAAAACTGGAAAGCATACAAGTTAAAATGGATTGTGAAAAATATATATACAATTTGATGAAAACGAAATTTTGTCCGACGACAAGGACCTTCTTATTGATAATATAACAATCGATGTAAATAAATTTTCAATTTTTCTCACACAACAACAAAATGAAATTGAAACAGGAAATGAAAATGAAAAAAAGTGGTTTAACCACTGTTGAGTGCTTATCCTCACAGTATGTCACATCTTCGCAAAATCCGATCCACCAATCCTGCCCTCAAACTAATATTCCAGCTCAGTCACAGGGGATGGGCCAAATACAAGTTTAATATCTTATTACAAATAAAATATTATTTAGATTGATTTTTCTCTATTTTATTGTTCTCAAAACAAGTCAAACTATATTCCACTTTTTGTTTGGACAAAACAAGAAATTACTAATGTTGTTTTCAATTTTGACGAATTTAAAGAAAAATGCAGAGACCCAAAATGAATTTTAGATGAAACCATTTTAAAATCCCCATAAATGTTTTTCACCATTTTTTCATCTGAAATGGTTAAAATTGTGGTTAACGGCATTAACAAAAAATCCCGTGATGATACAAAAAGAAAAACTGTTTTTCAAGAAACCACCGAAAACTAAATTTCGTGTTTTATTGAAGTATTAATTTATTTGGCCAGTATTTGGTGGCAAAATTCGCTTAATGATGTATTTGATGATGAAATCGGCGTGGAATTTGTTCAACTATGTTTCCAAAAAACTCGTTTTGCACAACTTTTTCGATATTTCCGTTGTGAAGATAAAAAACAAAGGGAAGAACTTCTAAAAACGGAAAGCACTCTGTTGGTATATTCGAAATCACGCAAATTTTTCAAAAAAAAATTAAATAACGTATGTTTTCCTGGAGAGTTACTATGTATTGATGAAAGAATGTGCAATTTTTTGGCCGTTCACATGACATAATTATCAACCCAATGAAGCCAATTCGAAGAGGTTTTGAATATCTACTTATAATCGACACAAAAACAAATATTTGTATCAATATGTTTCAATTTTATAAGGGTTGTATTGAAGGAAGTGGTCATATTGGGAGAAAATTGGCAGATTTATTAATAGCAGGAGTAAAAAAGAAAATCAGAACGACATTTTAAAAATCCAAATGGATTCCAGATTAATTGAACTTGAACATTTGGAAATATGGAAGTCTCAAAACGTGGAAATCATCGGGACAGTAAGGAAAACCAAAATATTACCTGAAAATGGAATCAAAAAGATACAAACAATCAAATTGAGTTGAAAAAAATGAAGCAAAAGTAATTAAAAAATACAATAAAATAAAAATAAAAAAATAAAAAAAATGAAAAAGAGACTGAAGAAGACAAAAGGAATCAGGAAAATCGAATATTTGAGTTGAAAACAATAATAGACAAGGAAAATGATGAAAATCCACTATTTAACAAATTTTGGAAAAGTGGATCAATACTTCTTAACACGTTTAATCCAAATAAGACGAAAGTGTTTTCAATTGCGTCAACTTTCTTAGTAAATTCGGGTGTTTGGAAAGAGTCAACAAAGAAAACCACCATGAACAACGTCTACAATGAGTTGAAATATCCGGTAGATATTTTTAACTTTTTGTGTTCTGAATTACCGATTCCATTTAGAAATTTTAGGTGCACTTTTGTATTGTTTAAAAACATTTTGAAAATGAAGATGACCAATATTTTTGCAGTAAGTCGATGTTTCGATATAAATATTCAACATTCCCATTTTTTGAGACATTTAGGGAAAACACTCTATAAAGATTATATAATGGAAAAAAATAAAGAAAGAATAATTACGGAAAAGGCAGAGAAAATGGCAATTCTCCAAAAGTACCATATCGATTTGTGGAAACAAATGGAAGTTGAACAACAAACGGAAAATGAAAGAGAAAGAGAAGTATGTTTTTCCTGTTGTTATGAAAGAAAAAATTGTATGAGATCGAAGAACGGATATTAGAAAAGAACACCAAAACATTGAAAGTGACAAAAAAGGCGGTGAGAGAGGAAAAACTAAAGCAGGTCACTTAAATAATCTAAAGAGGACTAATAATTAAATGCTTCATATGTAGTTGTGGTGTTTGCAAAAACACACTTTTCCAATCTGTAGCTGCTGTCTGGGACAAAACTGGTTTTCAAAGGATTTATCGAATGGCCTTAAGCTGCGGAAGATCATGAACAAAATGAGAGCGAATTAAAGTGTGAAACTGAAGGATAATAAATGAAAAGTGGTGTTTTATCGGAATAAAAATATTTGCAACGGGAAAAGTACTAACAATTTGGGTTAATTCCAAAAATTGCAATCAATTTATCTTTTCGTTATAATTTTTGTTGAAATCTTAAGGATTGTACTATTGTTGTAGTAATTTTTTGAATAAGATATAAGCAAAAAAATCCCTAAAAAACGAAACGGGTTTACAATGTTTTTTAAAGAAAAAGCAAAATTAACAATTGTTCTATGCTTTTTGAAAAAAATAATAGGAAAACAATGAACTTGTTAATTGAATAAAGGGTCGATTTATTTATATATTTCAATGATAGTTACAAATTTCTTGGCATCATTGAATTATTATTAAAAACATACTTTTAAACAAAAAACTATTTATAAAAAAAGAATATATTTTTTAAGGCGATCACAGTGAATTTGAAAAGCATCATGAAGTGAGAAAATCACTATGAAAATAAATATCACGGTGAATTTTGAACTCTATTTATATGGTGATGATTTTAAAAATATAACAAAGAAAAAATTGATTTTACTATACACGATAATGATTTTTGATAATAACTATATTTTTTATTTATAAAAATAATTATATATAGTATATATAATCAAAATATATTAATTATTTTGCAATCAAAAAACTATTTCTTTAAAAAAAGAAATGAAAAGATTGGGACCTACATTGACCACCACCACCTTTACCAAAATAAAATATTTGCCGCGAGTGTTTTTTGAAGGAAGTCCACTTTTCAGCCACTGTTTGTGCGTCCCCATGTCACCCACTTTCCTTGTCCGTACTGTGTGGACGGATGTGGTTCCCACCGCTTGCGGGGGGGGGGTCAGGGGGGATCCGCGCCAAGGGAGGACTTGGAAAGTGGGTGAAACGGTGCACAAACAGACTGTTTGAGTGCGGCCTTCAGAGCCTTTTTCTCAATGCTCCTTCTCACTCGGTTTCCACTAACTCGAGGTGAATTTTCGGCATATCTTGAATTCGGGAACCAGACCTAATATCTTCCCAGTTTCCTATTTACTATAAATTTAATTTGAATATGATTCGAAATAGAAAAAATAGTCTATTTTAAGAAGTGGTGGTGGTCAATGTAGGTCCCAGTTGTTTTTATTTAGAGAGTTGTTCATTTTTATATTTTTATATATTTTTAGTTAATTTTTTTAAATAAAAAATATAAATATAAAATTTAATAATTTATTATAATTATTTTTGAAGCCACAGCAGTGATTTTTTCAACCACAACCAAGTGTTTGTTTATTAGTTTGGACGGCTTTATTTGAATTATCATTATCTTTAAACGTGTTAAATAAGTAAAGGGGTGGGAAAAACCGCTTCAGGAAAAAACCGCTTTTGATCATTTTTGGTGAATAATGGTAAAATGTTTTCTAAATGTTATTTGATTATATTTTTTTATTTAAACAAAAAAAACATCATTTTCATTTTGTGTAAGCATTTTTTCGAAGTGTTTGGAAGAAGGCAGTTAAAGTCTATTTATATTACGGTTAATAGTTGAGTTATTCCAGAATTTATTTGTAAGTAAACTGGATATTACCAACATAATAAAGACATTTAACCAAAAATACATTCGTTTTCAAATAAATAAATAAACATTAAGTATGATAATTTTAATAAATAAATAAAACAAGAATGAATGTTGTTATCTTCGTTATCGGCTTTTTCCTTGTCGTCACTTTGAATTTATCACTTTAATATTATTTTCTTCATTGTGTTTCTGTCTAATAAACAAACAAAAATTGTTTAACTTCGCATTAAACGTTATATTTTGTAATTTACACTTTAAAAGTTCTCTTTTATACCCTTCTCCATTTTTTGATTATTAGAACTTTAAAAATTTATATTTTACAGATTTTTATTGTGATAAAACGCAATAATAATAAATAGAAAATTTAATTAAAAAAATAAAAAAAATAAAACCAAGTTATTTTTTTCTTTTCGAGGTTTCTTTTCATTTGAAATTTTGTTCTTTTCATCCTTTTTGATTTTCATAAGTTTTTCAACACCGAGCATGTGCTCTCTATCAGTAAAATTTTCAATGGAGACTCTAACAGTCTGGGTTTCTTTTCTTTTTGGATCCTTACTAAAAAAAGAGCAAACCTCTCTGGCATAAGACATGTCAACTTTTGCAACACCTTTAAGAAGGTCTACAGTGTTGAAGTTGGGGTTGACAAGTCTCATGTTTTCCAACTCTACTTTTAATGGGTGTTGAACCACGTATATTATACCAGCCTGTTTGAAGGCACTGGTCATCGTGTCGCCATCAGACACTACTTCCCATGAGTAAACAAGCTGCCTAATTTTGTCTTCCTCTGAGAGCTTTGCAAATTTTTTCAATGCATTTTTGAACTCGGGTGAGTTCATTTTGAGAATTTTCCCGTTTCTTTGGACCTTTTCGTCACACTTTTCATTTTCTTTTTCACTTAATGAAATTTTGTGTAACATCAAATTGTTTTTGTCCGCAAGGAAAGTTTTTTGTTTCCCGAAAATTCCCAGATCCATAGGCTGACATAAATGGGAACTGTGGGGGACTTCCTTTATAATCTCAACACGATTTTCCCGAAATAATGCTTCAATTTCATCACTGAAATGGCCCGAAAAGCCGTCAATAATTAGATACGCATTCGTATCAACTCTCACACTCATTCGGATTCTTTTTTCCTTAATATTCGGGAAAAACACTTGTTTGAGCTACAATGTGTATAATTCCGTATTTAGAACACCTGATTTTTGGTATCTAATAATAGCACGACTCTTGAGTTCCACAATTAGCTTGTCTTCGATGGCAAGTCTTTTGGTAACAACAAGGGGTATCATTTTTGTCCCATCTAGACAACCACAACATAAAAGGCTCGTACTAGAACCATCTCTGTCGACTTCATTAAAAACTTGTTCCCCTGATTCGACTGACACGTAGACAACTCGAGTTCTTGAATCAACCCATTCAACAAATCCAACTTCATCTAAGTTAAAAACAAGCTCAAATCTGCATCCATCCAATTTTCTTTTTAATTCCGAGTAATACTGCAGGATGGCAGTTTGTGATACCTCTGCTCGTTTTGTTTCCATAACTTGGGCCTTTTTTGTTTCAATTCCTGGGATTAATTTCAGGACTTTATTCAATTGCCTTGTTCCCATTGTTTTGCCGAAATTTTCAAACATGAAAAGTCCAATTTCTTCTGGTTTTGCTTTTTTTAATTTCCTTCATTTCTTCTGCTATTTTTAGAACTTCTTCATCGGAAAGAAGTCGTTTTCTTCCCTTTTCCGAAATTTTTCCATTTTTGTCTTCTTTTCGTATTTTTTGAATTTGGGAATTTACACCCGATTCCTTAAAAGTCCCGAAAAAAGACTCAAGTGCTACTCTAATTGATTTTTTAGTTCCTTTAAACTCATTAATTGGTACATTAGAAAGATCGTTTAATGAAAACCGCATTTGCTCTCTAAAAGTGGGAAAAGATTCTTTTTTTTATTTTTATCTCAAGGTCTTGGAAAGCTTTGAAAATAATAGGGCAATTAATTAGGTATTGTTCAGCCCTTTGGCTAACAGGAATTTTGGGACCAATCATTTTCAAATTTTCATGTTTTTCGGAACCTTTTTTATATTCTTTCTTTAATTGAGGGGGCTCGGAAGAAGGTTGGGACACTGTTTAAAAAGGTTTATAAAAAAGTTTATTAAATAGGCTATTGATATTGTTTTTTATATTAATGTTAAATTTTATAGATTAATTATTATTTTTATTTCGAAATTTAACAAGAGTTTTTTAATCTAAAAATTATATAATTACTTTGTTTTGTTGCGATAAAAGACTTATTTTAATTTTTATTGTTAGTAAAGTTAAAAAATTGTTTTTATAATTTACTTGTATATTATCAAATGAAAAATAACTTCGTTATTAATTGTTAAATTTGTTGTTTATGAATATTATTTTTAATCAATTTAAATAATTGATGTTGGATAAATAAATTTAGAATATTAAATTATTATATTTAAAAACTATCAATTATTATAATTTAACCATTTAAGTAACTAATATCGTATTTTTGAAAAACTAATTAAAAATAGTTTATTTACTATTATAAAATAGTTAAAAACAATGACTTATATTTTTCTTATTGTCGACTTAAATTGCATGACACCCATAGAATGAACATGAATTGAACCATTTAACACAAAGTATCGAAACTGTGGTTATCGTTGTGTATCTCTTTAGAAATATACAAGTGTTGAGTCGTTTTCATTACTTTTCAGACCCACCATTTGATTCAATTTTTGAAACAAATTATAGTATAAATTATAATAAAATAATTAATGTTTTTAGTTATTTTGTTCTTCTTTATAAAAGTATGTGCTGAAATCCCAAAATGTTACATATATTTACTGTAATAAAATGAACAAGATAGTCCATCAAATAGTAAGAAAGTTGTTGATTATCATTTCTTTATAATTAGTGGATGAAGGTATAAGAACCCCTCTAAGATAAACACACATCAACTTTCACTTTGGCACCATGTCTTCTTAATAACGTATTGGGCTGATAACAGTCATTGTTTCAATGATGTTTTCAACAATTTTTATTGAAATGCACTTTTGGGCAAGCATTTTGGCTGGCGGGAAACCCCGCTTCACTACCATTTACTTGTTTTATTGTATAGAAAAATAACGTTTTTTGGCATTTTGCCGAGTTTTAAAATAAAAAATAATACGGTGGCGAAAAACCGCTTTAGATCTGTTTTTGTCTTTTCTAAACCAAATTCTTATTGTTTTATGATGCAAACTTATCCAATAACCAAATATTGCCTTTTTAGATTGTGAAAAAATAGTGTGTTTTTTCTCGGCATACAAATATTTTTTAACCAAATGTACTGAATAACATACAAAAACACAATAAACTTGAATTTATTCACCATACAGAAATGATTGCCACACTTTCGGATCGTCCACAGTATCCTCCCAGTCTTTTTTTACATTTCTCTGCACGGCGGGAAAAACCGCTTTACTACCATTTAGTGATAAAATTACACACAATTATAACCAAAGTTTCAATTTGCCTCAAATAATTGAGGTTTTGGTGGAAAAAAGCAAAAAACACGAGAAATTATAACGGACATGTGCAGCGCCCTTTTACCGCTTCTGATAATTTACACAAAATTATCCGTCTTACATTGTTTTTATTGACCAATATTAATAAATTGCTTCGTTTATTTTATAAAAAGTTTCAAAAAAGCAAGTACAACGAAATAACGAGTCATTTATCGCTTGCTTGACAGGCACTTGAAAAACCGCTGGGAATGGATGCACTCACGTTCAGTTGGTGAGTGAGTCCAAAGTGAGTTTTTTCAGTTTGGATTTGAAATGCATTTATGTACGAATGAGGAATCCAACAAGAGGGGTGTGAAATAAAGGTGCAGTCTGTCTTTGCTGAGAGACATTGAAAAGTGGTGTATTAAAACATGTGCTAGGTTATACATTTACTATGTTGCTCGAGAGGTAATAGATTTGACTGTTGAGTATTTGTTTAATGGATGATTAAAAAATTGAAAAAAAAATATTATGGAGTGAAAGTGGGTGTGAAAAAAGGTACACTCGCGGGTTAGTGTTTTTGAGTTTTTTATTTCTGCAAAAAATTGAAAAAATATTTAATAAAAAGTTCATTATTTTTTCACTTAATTATATTAATTTTAAGATTTTTTTGGTTATTTTGACCTCAAAGAACAGTTTCGAAGTCAATCTTTCTTGCTCCTCCTTTTATCATTCGGCAAATCCGGCCTTTACTTTAAATAAAAAATAATTTCCAAATTTTAATAACAAACATCGGCATCTTGAAAAAGTAATGGATATTCTTGTAAACCTTGTTTTTTGAATCAAATCGAGGAAAAGGAAAAAAATAAATTATACAAAAAACTATAATCATATTATCATTTTACTATTAAATTATCAAAAGCTTTTTTTCCTGAAGCGGTTTTTCCCACCCCTTTATTATTTCAGCATTTTTTTGGTGTTTCAAAAAAATGTTGCAAAAATAAACTTAAAATATGGGAATAAATATGTTTTTGAATGTAATTAAAAAATATAATAAAAAATATTTAATTAATCATTTTAAGCCGTCTCAATTACTAATATTTATCAGTATCAAAGTAATGTTAGTTTTTTATATTGATTTATATACCGATGTAAAATAAGTTTATAATACATCAATTACAGTAGAGAAAATGAACCTTAGCCCAAAGAAATTCCTATATTTTTCTTTAAAAACACGGGTTTTTACTAAAAAAACAAATATTTTAGAAAATTGACTTTTATATCGGTATAGTTTATTATTTTAATATAACAATAGAAAATAAATTAGTTTTTCTTTGGGCTAAGGTTTAATGGACCAACTGTATTTGTGAATGTTTAACGTTCTATTTTTTTATTTTTTATTTTCATGAACAACACAATGCTTAACGAAAAGTGACACATCAAATCGACCAAATAAATAGAGAAGGATACATTTTCTTTTTTGAAAATTTATTTAAACGGTTTAATTGAATAGTCGTGTTGTTGTTAAACATGGTTAAAAAAAAACAATAATATTTTATAATTAAATAATGATAAACTTACGATTATAACTTACATTAATCTTTTATTTATTTAATTACATAAAATCTGCTTAATATACAATAGCTAAAATTAGTTGGGTTTTTGTTTTATTAGTGGACCCCATTTATTCCGCTATTTATAATATAATAAAACTTATTTATGTTAATGTTTTTTAAAAAAACTTTATCACCACAATATGATGATAAAAAAGTTGAAACGAAAGGTCGGCAAATTAGACTTATCAGACAATAAAATAAACAATTTGTTTATAAACAGCAATAAAAACACATTAAAAACAACTTTGGGCTTAAAAACTTTTTTAAACTTGGTTATCATTCAATGAGAACTCTAACCTTCTTATCATTTACAATATTTACTGCTTTTTCGAATGATTGTAATCCACCTGTAGAAAATTGTCTATCATGCAAAACAGATTCTTCAAATCAATGCGATCTCTGTGATTTAAAATACTATTTAAAAGATGGAAAATGCGAGGCATGTTTATTTGGATGTGCTTTATGTTATAATAGTTCTGTTTGCATTACATGTCTTTTTGAATATTATCTTAAAGAAAAAACTTGCAAACCATGTCAAAGTAATTGTGCAACTTGCGATGATGCTTCTACTTGTACTGACTGTAATGATGGATTTTATCTAAACGATAAAACATGCACAAAATGTCCAACTAATTGTTCAGCTTGCGATGATGCTAACACTTGCACTGACTGTAAATCTGGTTATTATTTTGAAAATGATAATTGCAAACTAGAAGCAGTGTGTGATACTTCTGCAACAGGATGTTTAAAGTGCAAAGCTGATCAAACAACTTGTCTTTCATGTACAACTGGTTATTATTTAAGAAGTGGTTCTTGCACAAGATGTGAAACTGGGTGTTCAGCCTGCAGTAATGCTTCTATTTGCATTGCGTGTAATGAAGGGTATTATCTTGAAAAAAGTAATTGCATCGCAGAAGTGGAGTGTAGTGCTACTGCAAAAGGATGTTTAAAGTGCAAAGCTGATCAAACAACATGTCTTTCATGCACATCTGGTTATTATTTGGGAAGTGGTTCTTGCACAAAATGTTCAAATTGCTGTTCGATTTGCAGCGATGCTAACACTTGTACTGGTTGTAATGAAGGGTATTATCTAAAGGGCAACACATGCACGAGATGTGGATCTAATTGTGTTTCATGTAATGTCAAAGGTTGTTCAAAATGTGACCCAATTTTTGTTGGATATATTTCTTCTGAAGGTGTGTGTACTGCCTGTAACTCTGCATATAATTGTGCCACGTGTATCAAAGACACAAGAGATACCAATGGTGTCAAATGTTTAACATGTAATGAACAAACTAAGAACAAATACATGAATGGTAATAAATGTGTTGATTGTGCAACTGGAAAAATAACAACAGATAAAAAGTGTGATTCTTCAGCAAATGCGTGTGGAAATGGATGTGCTGCATGTGAAGAAGTTGCTGTAAGTACAACAACAAAATGCACCAAATGTACAAAAACAACTGATTACGTTAATCTTGATGGAACATGTGATAAAACTTGCAAAACTGGTAAAGCTGATAAAGAATCAATGAGGTGTGAAGAATGCACAATTGCTGACTGCGAAACTTGTGAAACAGTTGGAAAAGGTGAACAATGCACTAAATGTAAAACTAAATACATTGCTGCAGATAAATTTACATGTGGTGATACATGCACCGTTGGTAAACCAGTTGAGACTCCAGTCAAAAAGTGTGATACATGTGCTACTGCTAATTGCTATGTTTGTGACAAAGACGGTAAGTGCAGTAAATGCAAGACCAATTTCAATCTTATGGCTGACACTTCGAAATGTGTTGAGAAATGTCCAGAAGGATATATGACAGATAAAATCAATGAAAAATGCATTAAATGTATTATTGAGGGCTGCGCAACTTGTGAAAAGGTAAATGAATGCACTGCATGTATGGCTGAATACAAATTGGAAGGAGGAAGATGCAATGGAGCTAATGCCTTTTACGCGTTTTTAGCAATAGTCATAATGGCTTTCTTACTTTAAAATTTCAATTTAAAATTTTAACCAATTTTGTTTCGAAACATAACAACAAAAAACTCTACAATATGACATATTATATATTTATTCAACAATTTAACTATTTTTATCTTTTTGGATCCTTTCCAAAACTATTGTTGCCAAAATGTAATTTTATAACGTAAAAATTAAAATAAGAAAATGAACATTTTGGTTATAAACGGTGACATGGGTAATTAGGAAGTGATTTTAAATAAACCACTATCCTAATTACCCACTTAATCATATCCTATTCTTTTTTAAATAAAAAAGCAAAACCTTTGCTTTTTTTGTTATTATTTTTAAAACAAAATATAATAAAAATATATAATCCGCAAATTTATTTTAAAATAAAATTTCAACAACAAAACAAAGATATTTTTGTTTATCTTTTTTATGAAAGTAATCTTTTGACAATAAGATACAATGATATATTTTGTTGTTTTACAACGCAACACAGCACCGTCAATGCTCTACTTGTCTACTATTATGTCATACATTTTTTCAATTGGTCAAATAATTAATATAATTATTATTAAAAAAAGAAACAAAAAATACCTTCACAATTAAATCTTCTCAAATCATTTTTGAAATTATATTTATTTGATTATAATATTACAAATTATAACAACTATTGTGTTTTTACACATTTTTGAGACAATAATAAATCTAGTATAATTTTTAAAGTTAATAATTATTTAGTTCTCAAAGAAGTCGCCGACTTCTCAGTAATATCAAAAGTCGCCGAACAGCCATAATGAAAAAAACAAGTGAGTTTCTCACAACACTGTTTACCATATCAAAAACTAAAACTATATATTATAATTATTTTTATTGTATTTATTTGTTTGCCAAATCAACTTGGTTAAACATTTTAAAAATATAAAATATTAATTATAAAACATAATGTCTGTAGGACGATCAACAATCATAATTTACTTTGGGGCATACTCTTCCGTTTTCACCGATTATCACAACGAACTTTTTAATACCGACAATTATAAACCGTATGAAATCCCATTAAAATATTTTTTGTGCTCTTGATTTCCAAACTAATTGTGGATTTTAGTTTGGTGAAGCTGCACTTTCAAAAAGTTTGATTCTAGATAAAACAGTCCCTCTTAAAAGTGGAATTTTTGCAAACAAAGATGATATCTCTGAACTAATCAATCATATATGTTGTCATTTGATGTGTATTTGACAATAGATGAATAAATTCTTTTTCCTGAACATTTTGTCGTTCCACTTTCTCACAGAAAATTTGTTTCAAAACTGTTGTTCGAACAAGAAAAGTCGATGCTGTGGCTTTTGATAAGTCGATTTATATGCCAGTCTTTTTGTCTCAAAGTCCCAATGTTACTGTGATTGACTCTGGCGATTCATGAACCAAAATTGCGACGTTCTGTGCTAAAACTAGAAACAAGGACTTTGTAAAGAAGCTTGACATATGTGCTCAATATATTACTGAATTTGTTGTGAACGTGAACAGAGATAAAGTACCCGATTTGTCCTGTTTTACTGCATTGAAAATAGATCAAAACATCAAACGAGAGATATGTGGCTTTAAAGAGTAAGAAGGGAAGAACCAAAAACACACTCAAGTTGAGTTTGTTTTCCCCTACAACATTAAGATTGCATTTGGTGATGAGAGACTTCAAGCGCCATTAATTCTATTTGACCCCCAAATCGGCTCCAAAGAAGGGAAAGGGGATTCAGACAAAGTAATCGCCCTTATCATGAAAAAACAAAAAAAGAAGACAGACCGAAGTTATACAACAATATAATGTTGTGTGGAGGAAATGCCTACATGCATGGATTAACTCAAAGGTTGCAAATGATGATTTCTTCTCATGAGAACATCACTACCGACTTCCATATGTCTAAAAGTGAACGACCATATAACGACATGAGCGTTATAATGTCGTTGTATGGTCTATTTCCACCTTTCCACGTTTAATCTCTTTGTTGATAAAAAATAAATATGAAGAGAATGAACTAAAATTAGCTTAGTATTGATCAAGTGACATTAAATTAATTTTGTTTTGACATTATTGTAACAGTAAAAACAATGAATTACATCGTTATAACTATCTTCTCAAGTCACTCAACTACTTTCTTTCATCCTGGGTCGTTCTAAAGCATTTTGCTGCCACTAGTCATTAATCAAATCGTACATTTTATGTCTATAGTTTCCGTTCATGGAAGACGTTCACCACTGGTGACATATTCAAATAAAGTCTGATTTTTAATTAACGATATCCCAAAAATACAACAAGGAAATTTGGGAAAAGGAAAACAGCCCCTATACAAACTCGCCCCCGAGAATTCACCCCTGTAATTTCACAAAAGTTTAACACAAGTTCAAAAAAATTCAACAACAAAATTTTGTATATAATAAATAAAATATCTATATTTACTGTAATTTATATTAATAAAATATTATAATTATTTATTATAAATATATACATGTGGTGTTTTTAATATTATTTATTCATGATATATATAATACGAAACATTAAAAGCATATTAGTCCAGTTTAATAAATTAAAAATATTTGCATGTTTATTTTTTCTTGTTTTCATTGGAATTCCCATCTTTTTATCCATTAAATACTCGCTTTAGAAAAATCAAAAACCCATAAACAAATGTTTCTGTATTATATTCTCATAAACATCAATTTGTGTCATAAGTGACTATTTAAGTCACCTTCACTTTAATTTCATATTCCAAAAAGGAATAAAAGGTAAACAACAAATGGTTGATTGCCATTATGATTGTATTAATGGTCATACACACAACTTTGCTATTTGGCCATATACATTATTGAACAATACTGTCACACTCTTATCACAACTTCATTACAAATTATATTATAACAATTAAATGTCTAAAATTTTCAAACTAAATTGAATTAAAATATCTTCCAAAATAAAAACATCTTTATCTACCCATATACAAAATATTTCCTATTTATTTTCTTTCTTAAAATTATTATGTATTGACGAGTTGCTTTTTAATTATCCTTATTGGTATTTTTGTGATGTATTATCAAAAATGAAAAAGTATATTCAAAAAAGTGTGTCAGTTCAAATATTAATTCGCAAATTACAAAAGATAAGTTTGTTTAAAAACATCGAAAACAATCAATTAAAATATTCAATTGTCGGATAAAGTGGATCTAAGAGTGTGGTTTTGAGAAATCAAAAGAAGTCAGAAATGATTTCTGTGTTGTAAGAGGTTATTTGTGTTGTTTTGAAGTTATTCGTTTTGATCGAAAAAAGTTTTTGTGTAATAATTAAAAATTGTTTCATTCCAGTTCGTATTTCTAAAAATAATCTAGATGTCGTATTTTTAACATGTTTTAATTTTGGAACTGATCTGTTAATTAATTGAATAATATTTAACAATTTATTTGTTCAGAAAAAAATAAAATTTGTCTGTTTATTTATAAAATGCTCTATTTTTAAGAGTTGCGACCCGATTTTGTGGCCTAAAAAGATTTGGCACATCCATAGTAATTTGGGATACCCTGCTTGTAGTAATGAATTGTTTATTAATCTATAATTTATTAAAAATGTTTACAAAAAACGAATTTTTCAGTATTTAAAGACCGAAAAACTGAGAATATCAAAATGCGTGGACTTTCTGGGTATCACGTCATGGTAGTCTCGAAGTACTTTAAGACACTGTCAACGACTTTATTAACTTGGAGTTGGTATGCAAGAAGTTCAGTGGTAATATGGAAAAGTTTCATTTCAACCCAATTCCGTTAAATTCTAAAACACTTGCATACTTCCCAAACATCGAGACACTTCATTTGTGGGATGTAAAAGATGAGAATTTTGGCAATGGATTTATGACGAACACAGAAGAAAATGAAGATAGTGAAAATAAAGGTTTTATAAAGAGAGAGGTCTTTCGAATCATTGTGTGGTTCAATGTAAATTTTGAAACTGTTGACAGAAACAAAAGTCGAAACATCGAGTTTAAAAATATTACTTACACTCTAAATGATAGAAAGAAATATGGTAAAAACAAACCATCGAGTGTTACATCAATCGGTAAACAATGTTTCTATGAATGCAGTAGTTTGAGCAGTATTAACATCCCGCCAAGTGTGATATCAATTGGTGAATATTGTTTCTGTGGATGCAGCAGTCTGAGCAGTGTTACAATACCGCCAAGTGTGACATTAAATAATTACAGTTCTTTCAGTGAATGTAGTAGTTTAAGTAGTGTTACAATACTACCAAATATGAAATCAATTGGTGGATGTTGTTTCTGTTATTGCAATAATTTGAATGAATTTATAATACCATCAAGTGTGACATTGATTGGAGATTATTGTTTCTGTGGATGCAGTAGTTTGAGTAGTGTTAAAATACCTCCAAGTGTCACATCAATTGATCATTATTGTTTTTATGAATGCAGTAGTTTAAGCAGTATGACAATACCATCAAGTGTAAAATCATTTGGTGATAAGTGTTTCTATAAATGTATTAGTTTGAGCAGTATAACAATACCATCAAGTGTCACATCAATTGGAAATCAATGTTTCCCATCAAACACGGTAGTTCATCGAAATTAATTAATTCGTTACTTTTATTTGATGTTTATTATTGTTTTAATAAATTTAATTAAATTATAAATTGTTGTTTTAAATAATAAACTGTTTTTCAAAAGTCGGTACCGAAAGGGCCCGCTTTTTTGAGAAAAAAATTAATTCCAAATAAAATTAATTTTGTTTGACATAGTTTTTCTGCTTATTTTTTTCCTTCTAATTTTTCAAAAAACAAACTTGAATGAACTTTAAATTATAACCAAGCCAAAAATTTAAATAAAAATTAACAGGGAAAATATCAAATAACTTACTTCTTTCAAAAATCTTGCTTGACCATATGTTTATTTTTGTTGAGAGTTAACCGACTTTTTCTCTTTTTCAAAGAAAATGTTGGTGTTACAATAAAAATATTAAAAATCTTTCAATT